CAGCAGCCGCCTTACGCAGTAGCGGCGGCAGTTTAGAAAAGGGCGGGACGGGACACGGCGCAAGCATTGGGGAAGCGACCAGCACGCGACTCTCCATATAAAGGTGTGTACGCGTGTCCAACATCCATCGTGTCGGCCGTGTTCCTATTCGCGTCCCGCTACTCTTGTGACCTCACCGCTGCGTGCATTTAGCACGAGGGGGGAGGGTGCAGTAAGATAAGCGACGGCAAGCCACCGCAGTCTCGCTCGCCACGCCGCTCAGATAGGTACCTCCCCAAACATGGGATGCGGTTCATCCCAATCGAGACGTACTCTCGCTGAAGAAAAAAAATTCAACGGAAAAAAGAAAGCGCGGGGCCTGTTGTATGGTCGCACGCTGACTTGTCGCGGTTGCTGTACGTGCCACGATAGCAGCCATTGTACTGCACGGGGTGGAGGAATCTTGCGGCTTCGGACCTAACCAATCGACCCGCGGCAGTAGGGCATGTCAAGAGTATGCACATGAGGCAGGTGCCTTGTTTTTTCTGTTTTCCCCGGCTTGGGACTACTTGCCGGTACAACCTTATCGGTGCCACGCACAGAGGGGCATATAGCTGAAGGAACCCACGATAATATGCTCACTCACGTGAGCAATCGTCTCAACGGATGGTATTGACAAGTCCCCACTGATGGTATTGACAAGTCCCACGGTATACAAAGCGGCCGCATACGTAATCGGAAAGTGCATTCAACAGCACTCACGGGAACGGATAAAAGCAAAAACCACATGCATGCGAGAGAAAGACTCAAAGAAAAATACTGAAAAACAAAGAAGACGAGAAAAAAAAACGAGACAGCGAACTACGTGCTGTATGCATGAGGAAAAAGAAGATGAAAAAAAAAAGGGGCGAGAAGAAAATGACCGCGACGTTCGAACCCGCGAAGGACGTCATTCAAAGGTCAATCTGGGTGTACCAAGGTCTCGAGGGGCAATACAATGCACTCGCTGGTGTTGCGTCTAGAATCATGGTAACACATTTCCTCCCGCCCTGATTCTCTGCCATAGTTGGTGTGGTCATCGACTAAGGCGAGGCAGTAGGTGACACCACCGGCGGAGGGGGGGAGTGGGCCCGTGAGGCCGGCGAAGAGGCGTTGAAGAGGTCGCGAGGCCGTGGAGGAAGTCGTCGTGGAGATCGCCTTGCGGATGCCCTTGCCGACGGCGCACCCGTCGCGAAACGACCGGGGAATCGGTTACTCGGATCTTCATTTGCCGGGCCGCTACTCGGATGAGGCGCTCGTGTGCATGGCCAAGGGAGACGTGGAGATCGTTGATGTCCATGGTCGCCGGCATACTCGCCCGCATACCGCCGCCGGTGCTGCCGCTGCCGTTACAACCGTCACCGGCGCGTCCTGTCGTCGACGCCCCCCCCCCCCGAACTCTGGGCGAAGCCACCACTCCCGCTGAATCCCAAGAGAGGTTGCAGCGGAAGAACTGAGGAAAAAAGTCCA